TTGTTTTTAAGAGATCCTTTCTTACCTTTTCACTAGCTACACCAGCATCTTCAAGATCTGAAACTCTGTCTTCACATTCACTTAAACGGTTTTGCAAGCTTGTGATTGAGAGTTTCATTTCCTCTATATCTCTTTGACTCTGTGTCATGAGATCTATTTCTTTCTTGTATTGCTCATTCAAGGAATGCATGATTTTTCTAATCTCCTCTATTTTTTTTAGCAATATCTTCTTTAGAAGCAGTTATAAAATCTTCTACTGCAGTGTTTTTTTCAGCTTGGGTTTCGGCCTATCTTTCTGTAGTTGCTTATTTACTTCAGATGCTATGAGTTCTGAGACTTCTTTTTTATTTCAAGAAAGAATTGCACTCTGAGTTACTGTATACCTTTCTGTTGTTACTTATTTTCTATCGACGCTATTAATTCATGCATTTGAGCCAAGCTAGTGTCTTCCGCACCTGTTCTGCTTTGGCACTGGGTTTCTTCCATATGTTTCTGCATTTGATTCTTTAGTGCAGATGTTATTAATTCAGGGATTTCTTGTTTTTATTTCCCATCTGAGGTCCTCTATATCTTTCTGCAGCTGTTTCTTTATTTCAGAAGCTGTTGATTCATTGCTTTCAGCTGTGTGATTTCCAGTTTTTTCTGTGTTAGTGTCCTCTGCACTTGTTATGCGTGGACTTGCGTTCTGAGGTTGCATTTTGTTCCTTCTCATCATTTTGTGTAGCACTGTTTTCTGACCTTTGTTGTAGATCTTTGCTGTAGTTATAGCCTTCGCATGTGCTGAAGTTCATGTGCAGCTCTACAAAGTTTGGACTTATCCAGCTGTGTCTGGCTTGGGTCTAGTTGCTGTGCTCAGCTCCTTCTCGCTGCTGCCCTTGAGGGTGAACCTGTTGTGCCCCTGTGGCAAGGTGTTCTGCTCCTGGACTAGCTGGGTGGATCTATCTTCTACACTCTCTGCAGGGATTGCAGCTGCAGGGTTGCACCCCAGGTGCGTATGCCAGGCCTGAGTTGTGCCTGGAGGAGGCAAGGTGAAGTAGGGGGAAGAGGAAGCTCTCCCACACACTCACAGGACCTGGGCTAGGACTGGGTGTGGGGTTCCCTGGAATGAGGCAGAAATTCCTACTGGGCGGGCAGGGTGGGGGAGGTGCTGCGGTGTGTTGGAGGGGCGGTCCAAGGGGGTGGGAGAGGGTCCTGCCCATGCTGTGCCTGGGTTTGTACTGGTCCCACAGGCGCAGGGTAGCAGGAAGCTCTCCCACACACTCAC